ATCTGAGCTTCGTCTGCTGTCGTTGGGGAGCCCAATCCTCCCAAAAACCGGATCTGGGGGCTTGTGAGCATATCCCGAGGAGAAGACGTATTCCTCACGCCAGCGCCAGCAGCAGCCTCGCATTTTGGTGGCACAAGATGCTTAAAGATCTGCTGTTTTTCAGCCAAAGTTTGATGTTTCAGAGAGTGTAGCTATCTGTGTCGAAGTAGCACGTCCCTCCAGAAGCCTGCGTCCTTCGCGGGTGGAGGTTCATGGCTAGTTATAAGTAGGGTTATAAGCACCCTAAATGGGGTTATAAGCATAGTTACCATACTTGTAACTCTACTTATAACTACCCATGAACCTCCAAGCAAGCAGCTCGCACACAGGCCAGGCTACGACGCTTCCGCAGAGGCGGCGCTCGCAGCCTCCAACAGAGCCTTCCGAGGCCCATGGTTTGAAACACTTCCTGATCGATTATCTTCAAGTATAGGATACATATTTATATTGAATATAGACACACACACACATCTATATATATATATATATATTGGAGAAATGGAGAGACGGGTTGAACGCCTAGACGAAACCATCTTTATGCCCGTGAGCTTTTTGGCCATTAGCCACCGGTATGCTCGCAGCCACGACGAGCAGAAGTCATCGCTTTACACGTATGGTCGTGTATGTATTTACCGCCAAGTATACCCGATGTTAGTAGATCTTACACCGTACAGTGCCGCCAAGCTTTGTTTTTTCATCTCAAAGTTGCCTGCCTTCTCTTGAATTGCATGTTGGCACTCGTGGGAAGCCCAAGCAAACTTTGCACCACCTGCTTCGTCCCACGAGTAGCCAGTCAGCCAGCCAGTCTTTTGCGGGCAATTCTCGTGAAGCTATCGGTGTAACAGAGCCCTAAAATCTATGAAGGATGTGGGCAGGATTTTGGGCGGATCCTTCAAGCTGTGAAGGCTATACCATGGCCATCACACTGGAATCTTCGATTCCAAAGCCAAAAACCCCCGAGTTAGGCTAATGTGTCCGTCTGTGCAACAGGCCCACGAAGTCTCAGGAACACGCGGGCGGGAGGCAGGAATGCAGGATCCTCCCTTTGACCCTTCTAATCCTAATTCCTGATGTCCACTTTCAGCAATTCGGGCACAGTCCGTCCCGTTTCTGTTCTCGCGCCTCGCTCACCGGAACCAAGAACATGCGTGTGACGATTTTCCCAGCTCTCCGGGCCAGCAAGGTTTGAAACTCATCATATCTCTCAGCGGACAGCTGCATGATCATTCAAAAAAAGTTTCCAACGCACTGCTCGCACAACTCCGGCACTCGCTGTTCAGCTCTCGGTGATTCCAACCTTCATTCCGACCCTCGTTCCCGACCTTAGTCCCTGCCTCGGCTCCCTTGTCGAAGATGCGGGCCCGATGCGGGTGGCAGACACTCATCGAAACTTAGTTTCTCATGTGCCACCCAGCATCTGCGGCGGCGACTGGGTTAAACTTATGGTTGACATGTGAGCATCTGCACCTTCATGACTCCTTGGCAAGGCTGGCAGGCGCGGTCTAGTCAGTGGCTTCACATGTCTCAAGCCGTCTTGTTTCTCGCAGGGCTATAAGATTGATGACGAAGCTGAGAAGGCAAGGTGTGGGCTGTGAGTGGGCCAGCGTAAACCTTGCGCAATTCGGTTAATTTAGGATTTGAGGCATCTTTGCCTTTCGAGTCACTGATCCCTATGTTCCCTGACCACTGGAGCATGCCAGAACTGTACATTGATTGCACTGTTGCACGTCTGCCGCCACGCAGACACGGCAGAACGGAATCATGCCGACATCTGAAGACCTGCGAGTCCCAATCTATAGACCTCCTTCGCTGCAGGCTAAGCCGGTTGTGGTCTTGACTTCTGATAAGGGCATCACGAAGGTCGACTCGGCGCCATGGCAAAGATGGGTTCCGAAGTTTCATGGGCAGAAGGGCCATAGGGCACTGTTCACATATCCTGAGCTCATCCTATTCGCTCTTTTTTCCCCCCGCTGTTGGGGCGATGGCCAGTTCTCCGAGTTTCATGGGCTCCTCCTTAGGTACAGCCAGTGCAGTAGCTCAGTAGATCTCAGTAGCTTGAAAGGGGGCCCCTTACACGTCCTAAGGACTACGCGCATCTCGCCCACCAAGCCAGCGCCTTCCGGGCTCGGAGCACAGTTGCCCAGGTAATTGGGGAATCATCTGAGACGAGTGTAAGTTTGCATGCCCCACGTGCTATTCAGTTGTTGCTTTGCTTTCCTCAGGGTCGCATGCTTTAAATGAGATTTGTTGCATACGAACAATGTATTGGGTGGCTTGTGGGGGGCGATTGGCAGGCAGAGTCTTGGGTGCATGCACTGTCTATTGCCGGAAGTGCGTGGCCCCTTCGGCAATCCGGTCTTAAACCTGCGCCTATCGTACTACCCGGCCGTTAGGCAAAACTAGGTGCAAAGCAGAAGCTCTTTAAGTCCGTGGAAGCAGGCCCTAAACTTAGCTGTTTTCTTCAGCTCTTCACTCGACTGAGGCACGCAGCCTGCTTCCCACGCTCTCTGAGCGGCCTCCTGCCGCCGAGGCGACGCAGATGTCAAGCTTTCCCCTCCCCTTGATACTGACTTCGGAGCCTCGTTTGCCTCCGCACTTGTTTGTGCCAGTGGCAAAAAAACCAACATCCAATCATGCTTCTTCCAAACACCTCCCTGAAGCAGTCTCTTCAACTCCTCTTGGCCTGAAGCAGCTGCAAGGTGGGCTACCAGAGCAACGCCCCATGCCGCGAAGCACCCAGGCCGTGGGAGCCGAGCTGCGTCGGCAACGATCGGTTGAATAAGGTACAGATCAGCCCGCTTGCGCTATGCTATGTGTGCGGCCTTGAAGAAGCGTGTTGGGGCCTTTGCCAATCTAAAATCAAAGGCCCTAAAATGGCCCTAAGAATGTTGCCGAGCGAAAGTGAGATCAAAGACCGCCTGCATTGCAGCACTCAGGAAGCTTGACGTGGATGGCAAGACCCAAGTTCCGGCAGCCTGGCTGCTCCTGGCTCACATTCCCAAGCAGCCTTAGACAGCCGAGGTTTGCTGTAGGGGTTTGCCCACTTGCTCACCTACTGGTACCAACTTCATGTGGTAGCGTCGTCGTATGCTGTAGCATGTGTGTTGAGCGTGGCGGACGGTTGGAGTCCACACTGCTCCACAAAGCAGGGCACGCATCCAAGAAGATAGGAAGCAAGCACCCAATTGCAAGGAGAGCGTGTTCAAGGCGCATGGGCACTGGTGGAATGTGGATGATGACATTCCCTGAGCGTAGGTTCGGATGCTTTCGGACGTTCAGTGGGCGCGTTGGATCTGCGTCATGGAACGCACAGCCCCCCCAAGATCCACATGCGCGAAGTTCCCATGAGGACCGAACCAGCAAAGACAACAATATGGCCTTCAAACCATGACATTTGCACAGCCTTCCTGTGTTTACAACGTCCTCCGTCGACAGACATCTAGATTCCGTCGCTCTAGCCTTACGTTCATCGACACATAGAGCTCCTTCATATTAAGGGTTCATCTCGAGCATTTGGCGGTAAGCATGCAGACAAGAATCTGATTAACAACATAGTATTGACAAGTTCCTATGCCGAGACAGTCTCGAGCTTGCAGCTCATGTCCTGATGCGCGCGGCGCGCGCTTTGCTTCTGCTTGCTCTGGGCCTGCCGCTGGCTTTAGTGCCGGAGGCGCAAGCCTGCCTCCTGCCGACTTTTGCCACTTCGGGGTGTATTTGGGTTCATTCTGCTTCTAGCACTGGGTCAGAGACTTTCTGTTTTCAGGTTGCGAAGGTTTTGCTACGTTCTCCGAGATTCTTCTACAGTACAATTTAAGGACCGTTACCGTTACTAAAGGGTTTCCTTGTTGCAGTGCAAATCACGGGCCTGGTCGAGCGGATCCACCAGACAGGAGCACAAAACCGCCACAGCGTCTTCTGCAGGTGCTTCGCCCTCATCGCATACCCTCACGGGTTGGGCCAAGGTGGTCAGAGGGCAAAGGACTGTTCTCTGAGGGCTTGGGAATGCCCCTTCCCATTTCCTTGTACGTACCACATTCGTGTCAACTTGGTGCAGCAGGCACAGGGGTGGGGGCAGGGAGTCTGGCAGGGAGGCGGGGTTCTGATGCCAGGATCACACTGCGACACTGAACCCTTGGAGCTGTGGCTCTTCAACAATGGGGCGCGCGCGGCTGGGTGGCAAGAGAGTTGTCGATTTCAGATGCGATGTCCACGCTTGTCGACATGCGCACTTCTGCTCACGGTTCGCTCCTGGAACATGCGGGGTTGTCGGAATTTTTAGGAGGCAGGACGGGTGCATGGGTTTGGGATGACACGACTGACAGTATGCTCAGGTCAGCTCGAAAGCGTCTTGGATCAGAACGAAGACCAGAAGATCTCGCTTTGAGTCATGAGCAATCTTACATTGTAGAGACCTTGTGTTTGTGCATCTTTGGGGTTCAAACAAGTTCGTTGGCTTCCAGTCTGGTGTAGTGCACCAATATGGCCAGACGGGGCTTGTATACGGCACGCCTTCAATCCTCTGCGGACCAAGATCCATCAGACTATGTTTGTATATCGGAATACATGTAAAGACAGAGAGAGAAAGAACGAGAGATAGAGAGAGAGAGAGAGAGAAAGATATTTCATGGCGGCTAGTTGGCATGATACAGCGTGGGAAAGGAAAGAAAGACGAGGAAGAAGATATGAATTCCGAATGGCAGTGTCCATAGAAGTTCATAGCATGCTCTGCAGAGAGGAGCAAGCCATGATGTAGCAACCGATTACCTCGGGTTGTTTCAGTGAAAGCCCGACTTGGTACAGAAAAGTCGGGGCTGTCTGCGGTTCTTTTCGCAGGGGCACTGGAGGTTCCAGTCCCGAAGATGGGGTTCTACCGTGCCCGTCCAAAGAGGGAAGGGGTCAGCGCGCGACTCTGGGGGCATGTGCCGCGCACCTCTCGGGACCGCACTCTCTCTCAGACAGCCATGGAGGACCTCATGAGGGTCGCACAGCTGCGGGGCTTGCCCCATAAGCCCGCGAAAGGAAGAAAGGAAGGGAAGGAGATGAAATGCTGGCATCACATGAAATGAAAGAGAGCAAGACAGAAGTAAAGGGAGCCCGGAGGATGCAGATCTGACTTTGAGTTCCTTCGCTTCCCGAGGCCAGTGTCGGAGCAGGGTCTGAGGGTCGTGGTCTGTGGGCGAAGCAGACGATTGCAGCAGGCACGCCGCGCCATTTGGTCGCTCGACGGAGGTCTCAAGCGAATGCCTCGCACACTTCACTCGGGTTTCTCCAGCTTGGGAAAGTGTTAAACGCTCTATGTAATACTGGTAGACATGCTGATGTGACAGGCGACGAGATTGCCAGAATACCAACCGACCTCCTCCTGTCGAAGGACTGAGAACTTGTGGCATCTTGTGGCCTCTCGGATGTGCCAAAAGGTGCTCGCGGAGTCACTGCGAGGGTCTCCAGGCATTTGGGCGCTTAGTGTGCTCAGACTTGAGAGGCCCACGGATAACTTCACCAAGATCATCCACACATCTCCCCATCAGCGCTTTTGATCTCAGCTCCTTGTGTAGAGGAGTCTGCGCTTCGGGCACTGGGCTCCGACATCATCTCCAAGGACAGAGTCCAACACCTTGAGCAGTCCAGATGCCAGAATTCAGACATCTTCAGAATGAACACGAGCGTGTTTCAGTGCATAAGTGTGCGTGCCATGAAGAGTGGTGAGGACATGGGGGAGTACACCGCCATTGCCTTGCAACTCATCCATGAGCGATACGCGCTTTGGCATGTTTTGAGCACCAGCAATTGGAGACACTTAGGCCTGGCACCGAAGTCGTGTCATCTGAGGTTCTGCAAGCCACGTCCTTCTGGCACCCTTACTTGGACCTTCTGCCGGACACGGCAGAGATTGGAGCCTCCTTCACTTGGTCCGAAGAAGACCTGCAGCTGCTGTCAGGCAGCCTAATTCAGAACATTTCCAGCTTTCTGCGGGAGAGGATCCAGGACGAGTACCGCGAGCTTTGCGAGACCCTGGCCAAGGATCCTGTCACCTTCCCTCTCGACGTTTTTACTTTGCCACGCTACATCTGGGCTTATGCCGTGCTCCTAAGCCGGTCCTTCCGATTGCGATTTGGTCGGAAGAGCGAGATCATCGCATTGGCAGCTTGACTGTCAAGGGAGCATGGAGGAACGGATTAAGTCTGGATTTCGATTTCAATTTCCTGTTCAAATAATTCATTTGAATTCTTGATATGTCATTGATGTCACAAGCTTGTTGACGGACGTTTCAAGTCTACTTGGTCGGTGTTGGACAAGTTGTGACCAGGCGAACTGCGCCGCGTGCTTTTAAAAGTGGTTGTATGAATCTGTCCAGGTGCCTTTCGTCGACTTCATCAACCATGATCCCGACTCGAAAGCCTATGTCGCGGGCGTCACGGAAGCGGGTGGGTGGGGGAAGGTGCGGCAGGGTGCGGCAATAAGATAAGACAAGCCGCGTTGAGGGACAGAGCTGTGAGTGGCACGGTAAAATTGTGGTAATGATCGAAGTGGAAATGTCCACCCAATCTTCAGCCTGCCCACTCGGGCTCAGATGCAAAGCATGGCGGCTTCACGAGAATACATTCTGTGTTCCTTGCAGGAAGCGGCCGGCCGTTATGTGCTGTTGAAGACAGATCGGCAGTATGAAGCGCAGGAGCAGGCACTGCAGAAGGGGTGGGGCTTCTTTTTTGTTTCTTTGTTTGTTCCTGGTGTTTTTTGGCATTTATGCTGGTTCGTCCGTCGACCGACAGACCCAGTCAGTCGGTTGGTCTGTCGGCGTGTGCATGTGTGTGCACCCGTCGGTCAGTCAGTGGTTGTTTCAGTCAGTCAGTCGCTTGGTCCGCGAATCTGTCCGTTGGTCAGTACCCCTCCGGCTTCTCCCTGCTTTTTTGAATGACCGTCATACGACATACGAGCATGGTGTTTTAAAACTTGAATCCTGTCCAAACCTGTCATACGAGAGCACCTAGACCCCAACCCTCTGCTGCAAGGCTTTCCTATATGGCTTCGTCGGCCGAATAAACCCCAAGCCCTGTCGCTCGTCCAAAAAAAACAAGTGAAGTACGTACATAAATTCTAAACCCTGAGAGTCCTTCGCGAGACGCATGAGACGAAAAGTACCTGCAGAAGCACAACAAAAACCCCAGACAAAAAAAACAAATGTCTCCCAGCAGAAGCCTCAAGCTTCGAAGGCTTGGTCGGCGTGAACCCATGCCTTCGAGATTCTAGACAGCCGAGACATTCCACATGACATTCCACATACGGCTCCCTGAATTCCCTGAAATCTGGCCCCTGCTCCTGTGTTGCAAAAGGGACCTTAGGGAGGTGAAGTTTGATCACTTGAAGCCCCACTTCTTGTCTGTTTTGCATCATTGACATCTTTCCCTTCCTTCCCTTCCCTTAAACGTCCTCCCTTGACCATCCCATGGAGGTGTTTGACTCCTATGGAAAGAGGTCGAACGACGAGCTGTTGCTGCTGTATGGCGCCGCGGCTTGAAATGACTCAAGGGCAGATTGGCCTCGGTCCCTACTGGCTTGGGCTAGGGCTATCAGGTGCTTGTGGGGGGTTTTTTTTTTTTTTTTTTTTCTCGAAGTTTGGGTCGGAAATGCGGGCTCCGCACTGCCAAGGCTTTTCGCTGGAAAAGAACGCCGCCCTGGCCGAGAATTCAGCTTGTTCCTAGCAGTGCGATGCACCGCCGTCCGACCTTACCGGAACTCGTGCTCGTGCTCCACATACTCCATCTCTCCAAGCAACGAAAGCCATAGCCAAGGTCCACAACTTCGTGGAGATCTCCCTGGCGCAACTTTGGGATTCCACAGAGCTGGCGGAGCCCAAGAGGGCCTGGCTTGCAGAGCGTGGTAGCCCGACACATCCCGGCAGCAGTCGTGTCAGGTTCGGCCACAAGCCCTTGTAGGGGGTCACAGATAGTTGGCACGCGGGGCTTGCCACGGGTGGCAGGCACATGGGGGGGGGGGAAGGGACGCCAGGGAGACCGATCCGAGGGCTCAAAAACGCTCTGCCCCAAGATCTACATGCCAGCCTCATGCATGTAGAAAATCGACACGCCAACATACGCCAACACCCTGACACGGGAACCGGGTGCCAGCCTTGTGTCGTTAGGGTTCAGGGGTGTGGGGTGCTCACGCTCTGCCCAGCTGGAGGAAGCTCACAACATTTTTCTGTCCCTTTTCATGACAATCGAGGTCAATGCTTCCCATTCACAGCTTTCCAAAACCCTTTGGCGCATGACATTGCTGTGGCTAGTCGGGTGGGAAAAAATGACATGCAAGAAAGGCTTCAGGTTTTGGGGTTCAGGGTTTAGGGTAATCCAAGCCGAAATCCTGGCCTCGTGCCTTTCGTCGGGGGCTGCTTAAGTCTCATTCTGACCTCCAGCAAGCTCTAGGGTAATCGCCAGCCTTCTGCTTGTAAAACGCAAAAACCCTAAAGAAACCAGAGCCAGGCATTTTGAGGTCAATTTCCTGAGGCCATCGACTTGTGTCCCCTATAAAGCAACTGCAGAATTCTACGGAAGCCTTTGCAGGGCACCGATGTAGGCAGGCCTTGCTCTGATATTGCGCCTGGCAGCACCCTGCCCCAAGGCACACATCCCCGACCCTTAGTAGAGCAGCCTGAACATGATATGGAACCCTAAACCCTAAAACCCTAACCCCTGAACCCTAAACCCTAAACCTCCCCCTAGCCTATTGCCATGCTGGAATCCCAGGCATTGACCAGGATGAGATGCAGAGCATTTGCTTGTTTCGTGGTCGATGGCCAACTGAGATGATGTGCCTCTCCCTCCAATTCTAATATTAATTCACGCGTAGAATCATCTTAATATTGTAATTGGTTTCGCTTCTTATACTACTGTGTGATAAAGGCCTTGTATAGCTAGCCCGTGTTTCGTTCACAGGTTCACGCGTTCATTCCATGTTTTCTTTCACTTGTTCACATTGTTATCTAGACTTTACTATACAGCAGGTTTGAGCCTGTCTTCCGAAATGGCTATCAGAGTGCATATCATACCAGGCTTCTCCTGCGGCTCTTGATGCTCACGACGGAGGAGATAGGTGTGCGACGCGAAGACGCGGCCGACAACCTAGCACGACTGTGGCACGACATGCGACGTCATAGCCACTTGCGTACTCAAGTTGTATTCAACTCCTTGAAAGGGGTTCTGATGTATGGGCCGGGTATATAATGTTGTACTCAGCTCCCGAGGTGCAGCGCACGCTCAGTGAGCTCGACCTCGCCACTCCGGTGAACCCGGACGTGGAGAAGCGAGCACTCCAAGAGCTGGGAAGGCTCTGCAGCGAGGTCGGATTCTGCTGGTTGACCACAAACAATGTAATACCTATGCAATACTACACACACATACACATACATACATATATATATATATATATGTATATGTATATATTTATTTCTGTTGACCTGGAGAGGGTGAAGACAGTTGCACTGATGCGTGACCGGGTGCAAGAACCTTCGACTGAGGTGCTATCGAGATGCCCTGAGCACCTTCGCAGAAGGGACGCGGAGCTGCTTCGAGACCGAGCATCGTTGACAGCCCTGCCGAGGAAGGAGCAGCAACTTGAAATGCAGCCGACGCAGGGTTCGTGCAAGCGAAGGATGTTGTCGTGCTCATACATGCATCTACAGTATGGGACACTTAAAGCATGACCCCTGCCCTCCTCAACCTTCGAGAAACCTGCGCTGCAGAGACTTCACGTGGCTGAAGGTATGCTGCGAGCGCGCGCCATGGTGAGGTCGATGTACTCGCAGCTGGGCGACCAGGGATTTCAGGTTGCTTCGCCATTCATTTGGGGCACACGGCACGAACAGTCCCCAGTGGTCCGCCGACGCCAACCGTTGATGAAGACCTATATGAAGACCTGTAGGATCTTTTTGGGGAAGCAATAAAGATCACACAGCACCAGGCTTTTCAATTCACTCCTTTATTGGTCTTCGTGGCTTGCGTACGAAGGAGACCAACATCCGCCGCGTGAAGCGACTGCTGTGCCATGTTCCTTTCGTCTTCCGGCGGAGGGATGCCAGGACAGATGTGGTAGTGACTGCTCACCTGACAGAGGGATCTGGTTCGTTGAGTTGTGGCGTAGGTCTTTGGAGCTCATCTGCTTCAGAGATGCGCTGTGGTTGGGCAAGTTGGGCAGTTCACCGAAGAAGCATAAACACATACCAACAGCTCGCAGGTCTCAGTCTCAGAACCTCTAATGAAGAAATCCCTACCAGGAAGCAGCAAGTGTTGCCTGGCTTCTCCGCAGATGCCGTGCCCCGGGACTTCGATGTTTTCCTCAAGGAGTTTGAGATGGACTAGTGCGATTCGGCCTGCGCGGCCCAAAACCTCTCAGCGCTTGCCCCGCGAGCAAAAAACGACTGCTGCGAGCCCTCTTCCCATCAGTCCGTGTTGTCGGCAGAGTTCATGGCCTAATGACGTTGCGGCCAGTCCAAGATTTGCCAAGATTGAAGATTCCCGAAAGCAGCAAAATGTAGCAACATGTTTTGCGATTCCTCGATTGCGCGAGGCCATGGAGAAGCTGGGCCACGCGGCACGACACCGTGGTCAGCACGTCCTGGCAAAGAGCACCCGACATCGGGGTCGCGCCTACACCCGCAGTCCAGAGAAGAACTTCAGGAGAGTTGGATGACCTACTGTTTCTTGATAGGAAATGACATGGAACTGACATCCTCCCATATATGCTGTTTCAGTGGGGTTATATAAAGTTATATATAGGGTACCTAGCCTACTAAGAACCAGTAGGAGGAGGGGTTTGACAGCGCACTTGAACATGGTGGGGCCGGAGGCCTATGAAATCGCCAGTCCTTGCTGTCGAGCCATATACGCCTCTGCCTCTTTTGCCTACCGTCCTTCAGAATGTTGTCCTGAAACGTCCTGAAGTAATGACTGCTCTTGGATCCGATCGTCACTGGTAAAATCTGGCTAGCGAAGATGATGTAAGGTAAGACGCTGGTTCGGCACGATTGCCTTCCAGGGCGCACCAGCTCGCACCTTTACCGCATGCATTCGCATCACTGGGCCGGGAACGGCCTTCGGTGCCTTTCGAGGTTGTGGGTAGATGGTAGAAGGACGGCCTTGTCAATAACGGCATCATCGACATCACGCATATCTTCGGGTCTCTCCTCAGTCGTGTAAATGGCGCATTGTTCATGCTGAAAGATGGATCGCATTGAACAAATCAAGATAAATTCAGCATGAACATGTGGACAGCCAGCTGTGGTATCAGCAAAGAGGTTCGTTCTTTGTGCCACCACAGTGTCATCGGATATCTTATTTATTCTGGTGATATTCTTGCATGATTGCACTTGTCACTCAGTGACGACTCTTGTGTCAACAACAACATATCAAGTCCGGAAGTTCAGTTTTCTAAACTACGACTCGTGATAACACGAAATCGCAAGAACCACGGCGATTTGCCGTAGAAAGTATGTTATTCAGAGCAAGTTGCATGCAGGGCAGCAAGCGGAGGATCTGGGAAATTCTTCAAGCTGACAGTCTTGACAAACAGCATGAACGAGCAAGTGAGATCTGTGAAGGGTGCTGGCAAAGAAGCATCTCGTGATGATGATGTTTACGTCAACACTTGAAAAGCCCAGCAACGACATGCACCGGTTACCCACTTGACCCAAGTTCGCCTTGAAAGTTTGCAGACTCTTGGGAGTGTGGGTTGCCTGGAATGGAAGCTTCTTTGCACGACCTCTTTAAGAAGTACTGGAGGAAACCTAGTGTGAGCATCCAAAGTTATGAAGCACTTCAGCTGCAAGTTAAAACCATGGCACCAAGGACGGAGTATCTGAACGCTGCCTCAGGCACTGAAGGGCATCTGCATAGGGATTTATGCGCGCGCGCGCGCGGGTGTGGTGTTGTAGCACTGGTTCTGAGGTTCGGAGCTTTATAGTTTAGGCATGGGGTTTCCAGAAATAGTAGCAGAGCTGTTAGGACGCGCCAGTTTTCTTGTCGCACGTGTGGCAAGTGAAGCGTTGCCGTTGCGCACTGTTTAGTGCCAGCACCTTTTGAAACGTTCTTCTAACTCCCTTCTGCACAACAGGGTTCTTGAAGAGCGCATGCAGGTTCACGACCTTGTTGTTGAGTGGAGTGCCACATGGGTTTGTGTTTTTTTAGGGGGCTCAGGTTTAAGGGCACACGGGTTGCACACCCGCGAAACATACCCCCGAAACATACCCCGTAACATACCCCCGAAATTGCAGGTAGAGTAGCTCATGAAGCCGCGAAACAAACCCGAAACATACCCCCGAAACATACCCCCGAAACATACCATTAAAATACAAACCCACATGAATGTGGACTGTGGGCTTGTCCTTCTTCACAGAAGACCCATGCTGCCTCAATGTCATACGTAATCAATCACTCATGTCGTGGAGGATGGGAGCAGAGCGCTGCTCGAATTGAGCCGAGCCGGCAGACAACGAAACTAACCTCGAGTGCGGGTCTCAACTGGGATCCGTTAATGTGCGAGGCAACGGCAACAGCAACCGCAAGCAATGAATACATCAGTAGTTCCATACATAATGAGTCAAGTATGAATGCAGGGCGCGCGGTGTGAAATGCATCTAACCTCCCGCCTGTGTGAGCCGGTGCAGTCCCAAGAGAGCCCAAAATACCCCTCAAGGACCAAGGTTGTGTTTTTATTGCTGTTTGACTATTTCTCCACCTGGCGTGGTAGCTAGCGAACTGCCGCTCCAACAAGGCTTCGATCGCCGCAGCTCGGCCACGACCACCTGGCGCTCAGTTCTTGGTACCGCGAAGGAGACATGGATCAGATCTGTGAAGGGTTATTTGGTTTAATTGGTTTGCATGGCTGGAACCTGGGTTCATGTGGATGCAGCCAGCTACTTGAGAGCAAGAAATCAGGGGGACTCTGGCGATCCGGCTCTGGGCTCCAACTTCTTCAGGAAAGCAGTGCAGCCACGTGAAGCCCAAGATGTGCGTGTGCGGAAGTGTTAAGGAGAAGCAGCGGAGAACGTGCGTGCGAAGGTCGTCATACGTAAAGCAGCCCTTGTCCAGGCTATGTGAGGTGCGTTTAGGCTTAGGCAAAGGCTCCTGCACGCGCAAGATCTGGATGGCACGCAATGGACAAGTGACCATGCAGTTGCTGCTGGCCCGAGCCGAACTCGATTTGGCTAACAGTCCTGGAGGTTTGGGGTTTAGGGTTCAGGGTTGAGGGGGTCTATACGCGGATTTTTGGGGAGGGTTGGCGCTGATGGTGGCATGCATGGGCAGTGGGAATGGTGCACTGCGAGCTGGTGCCGCCAAAGGGACTTGTCTGGCAAAGGCGGCGAGACAGCTCTCAATGCAGCATCTCTTCACTTCATATGGGGTTTACGATCTTGGGGGTGCCTTGTTGTGGGGTCCATATTATACGTTATAAGGGAATCCTACTATTTGGGGGTCTATTTTAGGACAGCTGCTTTAGCTGTTGCTTGCAGTCCCGGCTTGTTCGTTTGCTGCATGACGCGGCAAGGTTGCAGTCATGACATGCGCTGCTGTACCTGACAGATCAAAGAGGGAAGGGAGGGGAAAGAGATGTAGGGCCGAAGACAGCCTCAAATCGACAGTAGCCGCCAGGACCACATGCTCCGCAGCTACTGAGGCTTGGCGCAGTAGTCGTCCCAAGCCTCTGCTTCTGTCAATGGAAACTCTGATAGCACCCATGCCTCAGCATGCTGACACATGTAAGTCCCCAAGAGGCCAACTCGAGCAGCGTCGATCTCTCACTTATGCCTGTTAGTGCTGCCTGGCTTTACTATCTCACAAGTTTTGAAAAAAATTGTCTGCGAACTCACTTTGTTGGGGTCATCCGCTATAATCACAAGTTTTTTGTCGGGGGGGTTTTAAGGGTCCGTGGTGGTAAAGTTTCAGGCCTTAAGGCTCCTTGGGCTCCAGGAATCTTAGAGCCAGAGCCCGGAGTATCCAGCAAGCTAATCGCGTCCAGTTCCATCTAGAACCTTATCCTTATTGGATTTCATTACGAAATGAGGCCCCCAACAAATTTCGTCATAGGTAGGCCACGGGCCAGCCCAATTCGCTTTAGTAGGTTTGTTTGAGTACTCGCTATAATCACGACCCACACACTGGCCCGCACCTACCCGCAGGCCTACCGGTAGGCTACCCACAGGCCTACTCTTAAGCCTGTTAGCCTGTAAGCCTACGGTTGAATTTGTCGCAGTAAACCGTAGGCCTAGGGGCAGCCTACCAGTCGGCCCACAGCTAGGCGGGTAGGCCTATGGTAAGTCTATGGGTAGGCTTGTGGGTAGGCCTGCGGGTAGGCCTGTGGGTAGGCTACCGGAGCTATGCTAGTCCTAACGGGAGGCCGTAGCCTATACGTTTGGGCTTCTTTACCCTTTTTGGGAGGGTATTACAGCCAGTGCAACATTATTCCTGTACGATCTGCAACCACACGGAGCTCCAAAAATCAACCACAGACTATGGCTGTCTTAAGAGTCGGCCGTGAAAAACATCATCGAAATTTGAACCAGTAGTAGAATGCGATGCTATCACGTTTTCACATACGACGTGCTCATTAGTGTTGCAAATGTCAAGTGTTGCATGCTTGGGCTGGGCCTGCAAATGTCCGAGCGCCGCGAGTGCAATGAATGTCTGACTTGGTTGAATACAAATTCGACCAAGAGCCCGCAAAAAGCGGATGCAGCACCCAGCTACCCATCTATACTGCAGCCGTCGAGAAAGCAACAGCACCAGCACAACGACACCCCGCCGAAAACTTGACACACTATACTACCACTGGGAATGTCGCGTGTCTTCGCTGCACCGCAGCTGGAACCCGGCTGTGACTCTTTGAATTTAGAAGCCTGTGCCAAAGTTTTGGGGATCGCCAGAAGGCAGCCTCCATCTCCCAAGGTCGCACAACTCGAATTTGGGGGTTTACGACAACAAGGGACCCTGAATATAGATCCCAAGTAGTAGGATTCCCTTAAAATCAGGACCCCTATAACGTAACGGCGTTACCCCCACAAACCCCGATTTTCTGACATCCTAGCTACATTCTGCTGAGTGCACTCGTGTCCTGCTGGAAATCTTGGGCCTTTACCTAATGGACCCACTTAGCTCCCGTTGTGCATGGCCCCTCCCAGCATGGAGTCCCATCATGGCATTGTACGTACCGTGATGTTAATTCATGGCGCTGCTTATAGCGCTTGTTTGTCTTAATTAAAAACTGTTGCTGAAGATGTTGTTCAACAATCTGGGGAGAAATGGAGAGACAGGCTAGAATTCGCTTCTCCAAAGTGATACGTGGATACGCGTGCCCTGCACTTCCA